TTCTAGTTTGTGGTTGGCGGAGCTGGAGACCTGCGGAGGAGCCGGTTTTGTTGTTCCTAATTGAGGATCGTGGAGCTGGAGACCTGCGGAGGAGCTGTTGTTGGTGTTTCTCATTGAGGGTTGTGGAGCTGGAGATACAGGGTGGAGCGTTGTTTTCTAGTTTATGGGTCGTGGAGCTGGAGACCCGTGGAGGAGTTGTCGTTGGTGTTTCTGGTTGAGGGTTTGGAGTTGGAGACACGCGGTGGAGCCATTGTTGGTGTTTCTAGTTGAGGATCGTGGAGCTGGAGACCCGCGGAGGAGCTGTTGTTGGTGTTTCTCGTAGAGGGTTGTGGAGCTGGAGATACAGGGTGGAGCGTTGTTTTCTAGTTTGTGGGGCGTGGAGCTGGAGACCTTCAGAGGAGCCGGTGGTGGTGTTTCTCTTGAGGGTTGTGGAGCTGGAGATACAGGGTGGAGCATTGTTTTCTGATTTGTGGGTCGTGGAGCTGGAGACCCGTGTAGGAGCCGGTGGTGCTGTTTCTCATTGAGGGTTGTGGAGCTATAGATACAGGGTGGAGCATTGTTTTCTGGTTTGTGGGTCGTGGAGCTGGAGACCTGTGGAGGAGCTGGAGTTGGTGTTTCTAGTTGAGGGTCATCGAGGTGTCAATGGCGGAATAGCCGCTATAGGGGTCTTTGTTTGAGGGTCGTGGAGCTGGAGATAAAGGATGGAGCGTTGTTTTCTAGTTTGTGGGTCGTGGAGCTGGAGACCGGTGGAGGAGCTTTCGTTGGTGTTTCTGGTTACGGGTTTGGAGTTGGAGATACGTGGCGGAGCCATTGTTGGTGTTTCTAGTTGAGGATCATGGAGCTGGAGACCCGTGGAGGAGCCGGTGTTGGTGTTTCTAGTTGAGGATCGTGGAGTTGGAGTCCCGTGGAGGATCCGGTGTTAGTGTTTCTTGCTGAGGGTCATGGTGCTGGAGGCCTGCGGAGGAGAAGCTGTTGGTGTTTCTAGTTGAATGTCGTGGTGCTGGAGACCCGCCAGGAGCCAGTGTTGGTGTTTTTAGTTGAGGGTCGTGTGCTGGAGACCCGCGGAGGAGCCGGTGTTGGTGTTTCTAGTTGAGGTTTGGGGAGTTGGAGACCCGTGGAGGAGCCATTGTTGGTGTTTCTTTGTGACTGTTGTGGAGCTGGAGATATAGGGTGATGCATTGTGTTCTAGTTTGTGGTTTGCAGAGCTAGAGACCCGCGGAGGAGCCGGTTTTGTTGTTGCTTCCTAATTGAGGATCGTGGAGCTGGAGACCTGCGGAGGAGCCCATGTTGGTGTTTGTAGTTGAGGGTTTTGGATCTGGAGACTCGCGGAGCAATGCAGTTGGTGTTTCTAGTTGATGTTTGTGGAGCTAGAGGTACAGGGTGGAGCGTTGTTTTCTAGTTTGTGGGTCATGGAGCTGGAGACCCGTGGAGGAGCTGTCGTTGGTGTTTCCAGTTGAGGATTTGGAGTTGGAGACACACGGTGGAGCCATTGTTAGTGTTTCTAGTTGAGGATCGTGGAGCTGGAGACCCGCGGAGGAGCCGTTGTTGGTGTTTCCCGTAGAGGGTTGTGGATCTAGAGATACAGGGTCGAGCATTGTTTTCTAGTTTGTGGGTCATGGAGTGGAGAGCCGTGTAGGAGCCGGTGGTGGTGTTTCTCATTGAGGGCTGTGGAGCTAGAGATACAAGGTGGAGCGCTGTTTTCTGGTTTTTGGGTCGTGGAGCTGGAGACCTGTGGAAGAGCTGGAGTTGGTGTTTTTAGTTGAGGGTCGTGGAGCTGGAGATATAGGGTGATGCTTTGTTTTCTAGTTTGTGGTTTGCTGAGCTGGAGACCCGCGGTGGAGCCGGTTTTGTTGTTCCTAATTGAGGATCGTGGAGCTGGAGACCTGCGGAGGAGCCCATGTTGGTGTTTGTAGTTGAGGGTTTTGGAGCTGGAGACTCGCAGAGGAACTGCAGTTGGTGTTTCTAGTTGATGTTTGTGGAGCTGGAGATACAGGGTGGAGTGTTGTTTTCTAGTTTGTGGGTCATGGAGCTGGAGACCAGTGGAGGAGCTGGAGTTGGTGTTTCTAGTTGAGGGTCGTGGAGCTGGAGACCCATGGAGGAGCTGGAGTTGGTGTTTCTAATTGAGGGTCATCGAGGTGGAGACGGCGGAGCAGCCACTCTTGGTGTTTTTCTTTGAGGGTCGTGGAGCTGGAGATACAGGGTGGAGCATTGTTTTCTAGTTTGTGGGTCACGGACCTGGAGACCCGTGGAGGAGCAGTCGATGGTGTTTCTGGTTGAGGGTCGTGAAGTTGGAGACATGCAGAGGAGCCATTGTTGGGGTATCTAGTTGATGATCGCGGAGCTGGATACCCGTGGAGGAGCCGTTGTTGGTGTTTCTCATTGAGAGTTGTGGAGCTGAAGATACAGAGTGGAGCGTTGTTTTCTAGTTTGTGGGTGTTCAAGCTGGAGACCCGCAGAGGAGCTGGTGGTGGTGTTTCTCGTTGAGGATTGTGGAGCTAGAGATACAGGGTGGAGCGTTGTTTTCTGATTTGTGGGTCGTGGAGCTGGAAACCCGTGGAGGAGCTGGAGTTGGTGTTTCTAGTTGAGGGTCGTCGAGCTGGAGACCCATGGAGGATCCAGAGTTGGTGTTTCTAGTTGAGGGTCATCAAGGTGTCGATGGCAGAATAGCCGCTGTGGGGGTCTTTGTTCGAGGGTCGTGGAGCTGGAGATACCAGGTGGATCGTTGTTTTCTAGTTTGTGGGTCGTGGAGCTGGAGACCCGTGGAGGAGCTGTCGTTGGGGTTTCCGGTTAAGGGTTTGGAATTGGACACATGCGGAGGAGACATTGTTAATGTTTCTACTTGAGAATCGTGGAGCTGGAGACCTGCAGAGGAGCCGTTGTTGGTGTTTCTCGTTGAGGGTTGTGGAGCTGGAGATACAGGGTGGAGCGTTGTTTTCTAGTTTGTGGGTCGTGGAGCTGGAGACCCATGGAGGAGCTGTCGTTGGTGTTTCTGTTGCGGGTTTGTTGTTGGAGACACGCGGAGGAGCCATTGTTGGTGTTTCTAGTTGAGGATCGTAGAGCTGGAGACCCGCAGAGGAGCCGGTGTTGGTGTTTCTCGTTGAGGATCGTGGAGCTGGAGTCCCGTGGAGGATCCGGTGTTAGTGTTTCTTGCTGCGGGTCATGGTGCTGGAGGCCTGCGGAGGAGAAGCTGTTGGTGTTTCTAGTTGAATGTCGTGGAGCTGGAGACCCGTCAGGAGCCAGTGTTGGTGTTTGCAGTTGAGGGTCGTGTTGCTGGAAACCCACGGAGGAGCTGGTTTTGGTGTTTCTAGTTGAGGTTTGGGGAGTTGGAGACCCGTGGAGGAGCCATTGTTGGTGTTTCTCGGTGACTGTTGTGGAGCTGGAGATAGAGGGTGATGCGTTGTTTTCTAGTTTGTGGTTTGCGGAGCTGGAGACCCGTGGAAGAGCCAGTTTTGTTGTTCCTAATTGAGGATCGTGGAGCTGGAAACCTACGGAGGAGCCCATGTTGGTGTTTGTAGTTGAGGGTTTTGGATCTGGAGACTCGTGGAGGAACTGCAGTTGGTGTTTCTAGTTGATGTTTGTGGAG